TTTAGTGCCATTATCTATTGTTAAATGGGACTCTTACATCATTTCTTAGTACCTTAACTTGTGTCACTTTTGTCGTGCCCTTGCCCTTTTAGACCCTTTAACTAGGAATGAAGTTTATGGGGCTTGAGAAAGCTTGGTCTCCCCAATGGCTTAGAAATCTCACATATATTATCCTCATCCATGTTTATTTCCCTCCTCCAATGGTTGAACCCTTATCGCCCTAACCACATTTATTTCCTCATCTTTAATCCATGTTAGGTTTTGCTCTCCAAGCCTTGTCACTGAGTATAAATTATTTTGGATTGTGTTGTAGACAATGTTTTAAAAACCAACCTAGAGGTTAAATTGTTTTTGCCTTTGAGCTGTGGGTCATTTGTTTAACCATTTGGGTTGAATGGGTTAGATTGTGCCATGTCAACTTGTTTATATATAATTATTTTTAGATGTAATTATTTTAGGGGAATTGAGATAAATTTTGGTATAGCTTTTTATTTTGGCTTGTTTTGACTAAAATACTAATTGGTTTGAGTTTGAGCTTTTGAGTTCTGCTTGAAAGTTCAAAAAATGACTATGTTTTTATATTTTATGTATGAATTGTATTTTGGGCAATTTCCTTAAACTACCCCTACTGTTTGTGAAACTAAGTATACCCTTACTGTTTGACTTTTGTTTAACAACACCCTTACTTTTTTGGAAAAGTACTATTGTCGTTAAAATATCAATGGAAGGGCTGAAATGTTCATTTTGCCCTTAAATCAAATTCAAAGCTCATCCCATTCTTGTGATCATGGGAGAGTGGTATTGCTTCTTTGTCGTGGGAGAGAACAACTTTGGAGTCGTCACAATTGGTTATGGTGGCTTTCTCTGTCCCAACAAGTGCCACCATAGTCGTAGATCTGGTTGTCTTCACGGACGACGTTACCCCCAATTGCCCATCCGAGGTCTCTACACAACCAAGTAAGGATCATGTTGATGAGCTTGATCCACTTTCATATTCCTTCAATGTCGATAGAAGACACATAGAGGGGTCAAGAGGACATAAATAAAGCCTTAGAATGGACTACAATCTCATGGATTTGGGGACTTCCAAGTTGGAAAGAAACCAACACAGGAGGGGATTGAAAGCAAGGAAGTGAGATCCCTTTAGAGGTGTGACCCTATTTCCATGGTCATGTAGAAAGAGAGAAAGGTCAAAGGATAAAGAATTAACTTGGGCTTCTTCTCTTGGACATAGTTCTAGAGAAAATAGTGCAAAACAGGTAGTTTTGTTTTCACAAATCAACTAGAGAGTTTGATATGTAATCGTCATTCAGATCTCCAACTCCTTAATTCCATTTAGAAGAGAGTGGTGATCGTGTCAATGAACTCTCTACTCAGGCTCTTGTTGAAGTTAACAAAGCTTATCAGACAAAGAAGCTCTCTACTCTGGCTCTAGCTATCGTCGATTATCGAACTACAAGGAAGAAGCCCTCCACTTGTAGCCCCTCAACTCTCAAAAAGCATTGTTGTTCGGCCATCATTGCTTAAATCTCATGGTGCCATTTTTATTTCGTATCTCGCAAGGCGGGGAATCATCATCTTGTGAGACCTGACATCAAATACTCTGAGACCCGACAAATAAAAGGACTGTTGAGTGTTAACTAGTTGCGCTCTGAGTTTACTTGAATAATGTTTTAGATCTTTCTCTCTCCCCTTTGATAAAATCAGATCGTTGTCATCTTTGACAACATTAGTTGCGTTGTAAAAGATGAAGAAGAGATCTATCCCTCCATAGGTTGCGCTTGTGTTACTAAGCCTTGGCGGTTCTCATCTGTTGATTCATCAAGGATCTTGAGGAGGGTTAAAGAAGAAATCAGAATTGGCGATAAGGGTATTGTTTGTTTTTGGGTACTAGGCGAGACGTTGATGATGAAGACACCATTGTTTTTCGAGGATGACGAGGATGCAGACGAACTTCCTCGCCCTCAACCAACATTGACCTATGCTTGTGTCTCAGCAATAGGAGCTTCAGTGTTTCACTTCGCTTGCGTATGTGAATTAGTCTAAAAAGGCCTATAAGGCCATTTTTGGCCTTGTTAAGCAAGTGATAGCTTTTGTCAATGTAGGAGGGCACATGAAGACTTTTATGACACTTTTGGTAAATGTTAAAATTCCTGTGTACACTGTTTGTTAATTGTTATTATAAGTGGTCAGCTCTTATCCAATTCCCTAAGGCTCTATTTGGTTTGTGGGAAGATTTGTGTGGGATAGGAAAAGATGGGATGGGAAAGTGTAAAAATTTAACTTTCCATTATTTGGTTTTATTGGGGTGGGATGGGATGAGAAAGTGTAGAAGGGGACCGAAATGGCACTGTTCACCTGCCTCATTCGTTTAAGATGATTAGAGGCGAGTCAGGTGACGACTACCCCCTTCATCTCCCACCTCTGAAATGGCATTGTTCACCTTCCTCCTTCGTTCGAGACGAACAAAGGCGAGTTAGGCGACGACTACCCCCTTCATCTCCCACATCTCCCACTCTCTTTCTCCTCTCTTCTTCTCGTTTCAACCTCTCTGTTTATTCTCGATTGCCATTGTAACTTGTATGGTCATGCTCTTTTAACTCTGCCGTAACTTGTTTAGTTGTCGTCGCTGTCGCTTTTGGCTCGTGCTCTTCTAACTCTGACAACGATGATCCCACTGGCATGGTTGTGCTCTGACATTGCTGTCGTCTTATGGGAGGAGGGAGATCGTAACTCAAGCTTTCTTGAGTTTTCCCATTGGGGTTGCACTATTTTGGTGTGACCCTGAATCCACGATTTTGGGATCTCGCATCCCACCTTTTTCTCATCCCATCCCCCTCTTTGCCTTGAAACAAATATGAGAAAAGGGAATATTTTTTGGAATATTCCCTTTTTCATCCCTACCCCACAAACCAAACGGAGCCTAACAGGAATTTGAGGGCCAGTTGGGTTAAGATAAGTTGACACCCTTTGTTTTTTGAGGATGTCAACGAGTGTTTGGGCGACAACTTATCAGAATAAGTGATTGGAGATAGAGAGTTTATCGTTGTTGAAAGGAAGAAGAGGATATGGGTAAAATTGGGTTTTAAAAAAATATACATCACGTGTTTGTAAATTTTGATGAAATATTAACGGATGTTAATGTTAAGGGTAAGGCTAGAGGTAGTCAATTGTTAGAAACAATAGGGGTATCATTACGGAGTAGTCAAATACTAAGGGTATACTTGGTCAATTTCGCAAACAATGGGGGTAGTTTAAGGAAATTTCCCTTATACTTTATAATATATGGCATATTCTTATATTATATATAGAATATGTTTTTATATTCTATATATTGAGCTAAGCTTACAAGCTTTCGAGTTGAACTTTTTATTGGTTGAGCTCGAGCTCAAATAACTAATTAAGATTACTTGAAGATTTGAACTTGAATTGAGCCTAATCAAGCTCAATCTAGAATTATTCAATAAGAGCTTGTTTTGATTGTAGCTTTAATATTGTAATATATATAAGTATTAGTTTATGTTTATATTTTTAAATTTAATTTTTATTTTTTATTTACAAAAATGGTAAAAATTGTGATTTGAGGACCAAAAAAGGGTCCTTTGGCAAAAATAGCCGGGCAAGGTGCTTTAGGCCCCTTTGGATACATAAATTTTAAAAAGTTACCAAAGTAAAAAAGAAAAAAGATCACCCCAATTGGACACGAGAGTGCAAAGTTATGGCCTAAAAAGTTCGCACAAGGGTGAATGCCATTATGCTAGGAGTGGGAATCAGTTTCTAGTTTTTGTTGACCAAACAGTTGGAATTGGAGTTGTGAATCAAATGGACCATCATCATACATCTATCTCTCTGTAAACCCCTTTTTAACAGGAAAGGGGGGAAAAGTGTAGGCCTATATTCCCCTTTTATGTTAAAAGTATATGTAAGGCTCTCTTTTTTCCATCCAATTTTTAAGTGTTAGAATTGATTTGTTGAAGTCTTTATAATTTTCTTGATAGTATTGACAAGTAGCCTTCAGGTATTGATTTCTAATAATCCCTTTAGGTGTTGATTCCTAATTTGAAATTTGACATAATTGAATCAAATTTGAATAGTTCAAATATGGTAATCAGTTCAATTTGAATAACAAGCTCATACAATTGAATTTATCTAATCGAAAATGGAGATTACTAATAAAATAAATGTTTTAATAATATACATTTAATTTTCTACCAATGTTCGAGGCATTCAGAAATTGTAATGTGTTTGCTCTTTTTCTTTCTAGGTCTTGGTGGAATGTGTAATTGCTGATTTGGTTAGTCAGCCTTTCTGGGACTGATCTCAGCTTTCCTTGTGTATCTCTTGTTTCAATAAATATTACTTTACCTTTTCAAAAAAAATATAATATGATATATATCAACATGTATTAACAATTATATATATATATATATATATTATGTTATATAATATACTCAGACGGGTTTTTTAACCTTGACAAGGTTAGAAACTCTGGCCCCATCTCTCCATTCCTATTTATAACAAGGATCCCCGAATTTGCCCCTCTCTGCCCTGGTCATTCCTACTTGTATACTTACAAGTATAATATACTATTTTATATTGTGTAATATAATATGGTATAATTAAGGGTGCAACTTGAGCGGGCCTAGCCTGAGCTCGAATTGACCCAACTCGGAATTTTGCACGGGTTGGGCTTGGGCCCAAGAATTCATGCTTTTTTAGTTTTTGGGCTGGGCTTTGGCCTAGCCCTTAGGTAGCCCAAACCCAGCCTGAGCCCGCATTCATACATTATATACATACATACATACATACATACATATTTGTATGTATGCACAATTGTATATATTTACCTATATATACATATTTGTATACATATTTACATATATATATTCATACATTATATACACACATACATACATACATACATACTTGTATGTATGTACAATTGTATATATTTACCTATATATACATATTTGTATACATATTTACACACACACACATATATATATATATATAATTTTAGAGTGGGTTCATTAACCAATCCGAGCCTAGCCCAGGCCCAAGCCTAACCCGAGTGCATGAAATTAGAGTGTGGATTGGGCTTGGGTTGGGAAGATTGGGTCGGGCTTGGGTTGACTATAAACTCGACCAAACCTGCTTGACTTGCACACCCCTAAATATAATATATAATGTTATTTTATATATATATATATATATGAGCCTTAAGCCCAAATTTTAGGGTTGGGCCTGGGTTGACTATAAACCTGCCCCGAACCCCGATCATTGGCCAAGAAACCCACCTTGATTGGGCGGTGCCCCACTTGTACGGGTCAAATTTCCATCTCTAATTTTAATTTGGATATTTTATTTCCTAGATTTTCATTTATTAGTATAAATGAAACGGAATAAAATCCCTCCTTTGAAATCTTTCCACACTTGTAATATGCCAATTTGGCTATGTATGTTGTTAAGTTCAAGCCCTTAGAGATAGCTTGTTTCATATTTGTTTCTAAGATGTATGTCTCTCTTTTTTTCACCTCCATTCTTCTTGCTTGTTGACATCATGTCTTTTCCTTTTTGTTTGGTGTGCCGATGTCTCAAATTGACCATAGACCATTAGTCTCAATTTGAGATTAGTGAAACATTTTTTCTTACATGCAGAATTTATTTGTATCACCTCCTTTCAAGTGCTATCAACGCACTAACTAGTCATCTAGTAGTTGATCGAATTGTTAGTTGAGTGCATGTTTGACTACATCACTTACTAGTCGGTTGATGGTCATAATGTTGTTGCTTGGGAGAACTGAGCATTGGCTAAGTGAGCTAGTTGAATAATGACTGGTCATTGTAGTCAACCTAGTCAATCACAAATTCATTTTCAGGCTTTGTTTGTTTGTTGTTTATATCTCTAATTTTTGGAAGCGACATAGCACATGTTTACATTTTGTTATATTCTTACTGTCGCTTTAACTATTTGTGATGGAACACTGTTGTATGGCGGTCTAAAAATTATGAAATAAGCATTAAATAAAACAAGGAACCGGGGGAATTCTTCTAAGTTTTTTCCCCAATCTGTGGTATGTTTGTATGGAGTTGCACAAACAAAGGGCACTCTTTTTCTTTTAGAATTTCAGCTTATATTAACTTATTTACAAGATTGAATCAATATTATAAATTTAGGAATGCCTCTTTTTCTTTGCATCAACTAAAGTCAAAATGACTGGTAATGGCTTTACCACATTGGTAACACTTCTTCCTTCTTAGAAGTGATTTTGGTTTGCTGAGTGCTCTGATGTGGCTTGGTTTCTCATTACGGGTTTTGATGAATATGATGTCTGTGCTGTATAACAGCTCATATATTTCCTTTCTCACCTTTCTTGTTTGACCTGCTTGGATTTAAGCATGTGCTTGTCATAGTTTCAGTATTTCCTACCAGTCCTTTTGGGTTTCAATCTCTAACCCTCTTTGTTTGCAAGATGTGCTTGAAAATATGAATTCCACCCTCTTTATGCATTCATGTTTTGCCCAAATGCTTCATTCAATAATAGATTAAAAAGTTGCTTGTAGGTGGGTTCCAGCAAATATTTGCTTTGTGTCTTAAATTTGCACTGATTATCTTCGAGTTGCTGGTAGGAAGATTCAGTTGAATATTACACACAGAATGTTGGGAATTTCAAAACTCAATCCTTTTTCCCCAAAATGCTATTCTAAATTTAATATGCCTGTTGGTTAAGGCAATCTTGTCTATGGCTCTATGCTAATATTGTCTGTTTGGTGATGCAGTTGAAGGATCTAGGAATTAAAACTACAATGATGCAGTTTTTTATAGCCTGCTATGACAATGGAAAAGACCATCTACACAGAATATTTATTTAATCAAGTTGTTTTCAAACAATAAAAAATGCTGTTTTCTTCTTGCACATTTTCCTAATCATGTGAACCCTTTGGAGCTAAAATTTAATCTGAACAATAGTTTTTCTAATCATTTAGGTCCTTAGAGGTTATTGTCCAGGAGGGCAATGCTTTCTGGTTTTCTTTTGGGGCTAATAATTGGTGTTCCTTGTACTTTTAACGTAGGATATGTTATAAATATGAAGTCTAGCAATTTCAATTTGTTGTTGCAGGCGACTGTTTGTCAGATATGTGGTGTAACAGGCTTCTCTGAGTTCCTAATTTACTGCTCTAAGTGTCAGATATCTGCAGAACACCGGTATGCTCTATTGCAGACCCCATTATTTGCTTGTACTTCACACAAGTCTTGTGTTAGACAAGCCCTTTTTTTAGCAAAAGTTGAAAAAGTAAGAAGACGTTTCAAACTCTGGAAGAAAATTAATGTGTGGTAAACAGGTTTAAATAACAAGCGTAAGATTTTTATTTTGTGAAAGGTAAGAAATTTTATTACTGAAACAAAGAGCAGATGATACAACAGGCAATCAAGGCCCTAAGACAGGGGGCCTGGACCCCTTGAGTACTCAAACACGTAAAATTACAAGCAGTATTCAATACAATGAAGAGATTGCCAATGGGTATTGATCAAAAAGAAAAAAAGAAAGAGATTGGCAATGGGACAAGTGATCACATCCTTTGACAGTAGAAACCATAGCTTGCCAACCCGAATGGAAAGTGTAAGATCCTTCATGCTATAACCTAAGAAAATTTTATTCAGTGTGAAAAAGCATGATTTCATATATGGAAGATGGCAGACAGTCAAATTTGTAAAAGAGCAGCAAGCTTGAAATCTTAATTGGTTTTTATCCTAGTAGTTAAAAGTTAAAACTGAATTGATTGGTCAATGCAAGCTTAAGGTATCCTGGAACAGTGGGATTCCATATAGATAAATGCACCTCAATATAAAAGAAAAGCAAGGAACTGGGATTCAGGATTGATGCTTTATTTTGCAATTTTTCTAATATGTTTACTATATTACTGATTCTTTTCATTTGTGTAGAGAAAATGGTTTAACCTATGTGCTTTTCTATCTGTCTTGTTCTGCAGCTACTGCTTAGATAAATTTCCAGCACCCAATGAGGAGGTAATCTGGACATGTCAGGAATGCATTTCAAAGACTGCCGAGAGGTTTCTTCTTAAGAGTTTCAGTTCACATCCATTGAGAAGTAGACGCAAAAAATTAAAACACCATCGAGCTGCTGGAAGTTATACAAATCTGAGAAAGAGGGAGAAGGATAGCAATGATTGCTCAGAAGCTGAAACATATGCACAAAGATCTGATGTTGCTTCCATTCTGCAGCCTACTGAGGCACTTGTCAAGGAAGTAGTTCCAGAGACTTTATGTGTAGTGAGTGATTCTCCTCTCTCGCATAAGGAGAATGAGAATTCACATTGTTGTGGTGGAAGAAGTGAAGGAGGCAAGTTTAAAAAACAGAGAAGAAGGTTGGTCTTGAATGATGAAACCAACTCTGGTGAAGAGGGTGCTTATGTTGAGGTTAGAAGCTCCCAAGTAGCTCCGGATTCTGAGGTAGCTGTTGCTGCTGAAGGTCGAACTTCTCCAGCATCATTGGATGCCTGCCATCAGTCATTTAGAGAATGTCCTTCCTCTGGTGCTGCACAACCAATAATTGATCCTATTTGGACGTAAGATCTTTTTCTTTTTCTTTTTCCTTCCCCAACTCCCCACCTTTCCTATTGTTTGCACGTTTGGTACTGATTTTACTTGTGGGGGTTGTACTACTTTCAGGGGATCCTTCAACATCTGTAATGAGAACCATGGTGCAGTTCCATGTGTGGCCCACGTATCAAGCCTAGCTTGTTCAAAAGTTACTTCGGAGGCAAAAGCATTGCCACCGTTGCTTGATGTGAAAATTTTGCCGAAGCTTGATGTCTGGCCCCCAACTTTTTGTAGATCACCACCAACTGACAACAAAATTGGTCTCTATTTTTTTCCCATAACAGAGAGGTATTGATCTTTTTGGCGTTTTTTTAACCTTCTGCTTTTAGTTTCCTGGAGTTGCTTCATTCTCATGATTATGTTAATATTGTTACAGAGATAAGACAAAGTTTGACAGGTTGCTGTATGACTTAATTGACCGGGAGCTTGCACTTAGGGCTGTGATTGGAGTTGTTGAGCTCTTGATTTTCCCTTCTCTTGAGTTGCCACCATCATGCCGGAGTAAGCTCTTGGGATTTTGTTGTATAAAACTGAAAGGCATTCTGCGTGTTTTATTGGTACTAACAATTTGTTCAACTAATTCTTTTGCAGAATTTTTAGGAAATTATTTTCTGTGGGGTGTATTTAGGCAAAGGCCAATTCCAGTTCCCCATGAACCAGGTATTGATAGTGCCAAGTCAGCCGAGGGTATTGGTTGCGAAAAAAGGGAATGCACCAAGACCTGTACTAATAGGGAGAGTCCTGTTGGTCCTCTCAGCATGATTAACAATTGTGAATCGGATTCATCCTCTTTGCATTCTAAAGCTAGGATTTGTTCTCCAGAGTCCACATCATCTCACGATTCCGAAACTTTATATTCTGACAAAATTGAGAAATCAAGTGATCATGATTGGGACCTGGAAAAGCAGCCTACCCATGGAGAAGAGATCAGGGATAAAAGTTCTTGCGATGTGAAACTTTTGCAACCGGAAGCACCATGGCAGCATCCCCTTGATGCTTGCCAAGAGGAAAGCATAAATTTGGACACGCCTTGTTTGGGACTGTTTCCATTGGAGGTGGAGAATATTGCTATTTTATCAAAAGTGGATAGTGAAGGGCTTGACCTGGAGTTGGGATTAGGTCGATCTGGGTTTAAGCAACCCAAAAAGAAGTCTTGTGATTTTGTTGATTTACTCTTGTAAATATTTTAGGAACATCTTTTACTTTTTTTTTTTTCAATTTTAACTTGAGTTTTGCAATATCATCGGAAGTGTAAATCGTCTTAAGTTACAAGAAAAAAGTAGTTAATGGCCTTTGTTAATTGTTCATGGATGAGTATGGATGATTAGTACAGACCAAGGTTCAAAACATCGATACGCCCGGCGTATTGGCTGAATCGATACACATTTTGGTTATTTTTTTATTTATTTTTTGCAATCGGTTCGGGGGGCGGTTTAGGTCTCATTTACCCTCTGAACTGGTCAAACCTCCGATACACGGGGCGTATCAGCGGGGTCCTGGAATGATACGTAGTACAGACTAATTAATACGTTTGTTCATCTCAATTACTCACGAGCAACTAACCAGGCCATCTTCACCATTTTAACGAACAGAAGAGACTCAGCCCATCGTCAGCAGATGATGATGGCATGTTTTTGAAGCCGGAAATTCAGTAGTGCATTATGATTTAGTTTCGGAAAGATGTACAAACAATCGAAAGCGTATTTGTCTTTGCTTTAATAATCAATGACTGCAAACCGGGTGCGACCTTTGATCCTGGAACACAAAAAGAAGGAAAGAAAGTCAAATTAGAGAAAGCGCTTTTTAGATTCTTAGAAAGCAAATAAAGAAACCCTTAAATCTATCGTCTTAAAATGTTTTTCCTTTCTGTTTTGCCAGAGATATGATGAGTTCTACAATCAGTCTTGATTTGACAGGCTACAAAATCTTGGATGGTTTGTTGTTTAAGGTAAGAGTTTGGGAGTGCTTATTAAACAAGTATTTATTCATGAGCGTTTGGTGAAAATGCAATTATACGGGTTATGTAAATAATCACTTTAAAAAAAGCCCAGAATTTGTGCTTTTCATTTAAGTGCTTATTTCTGAGAAAACACACTTATTCGGGTTATGTAAATAAGTGCTTATTAGCGTGATTCCGACCCAAAATATATGTTTAGTCCATTAAGTAAGTATTCTAAACTTACCTAAATATAATTAATATAATTGGTGCCATAAGGGTATTATTGTAGTTAGGTTCATCTTTCAGTGCCGTGATTGAGACTTTTTGTTGGGCATAGGGAGCGATTACTTGATTGCTTGCATACAGGATGTTGTGTGGAATTTTTTTTAACAGTTTCTCTCTGTACCGCAAAAGTATATATTATTTATATATTTTTTAGTTGAGGATTCATTCAATAAAGGTACTGTGGTCTGTGGTGTTAAAGAAAATTTAAATTGAATGAGGGCCTTATAACGCCAGGAAGGGATTTGTTCAGATAATAGATATTAAAGTTAAGCTTCGAGGCACTCATGCATGTAAAATTTTAGATTTAATGGTGTAATCCAAAGTTTTTATAACTAAACCGGACAATAAATCGTTCAGAGGTCCAGTTTCTGGGTCGAATGGTCTGACCGTGTGAATAAAATGGATGGTCCGTTCCAATAAAAATAATTAAAAAATCAAAAATAAATAAAAAGTCAACAACCATTAGACAATTTGAACGGTTTAACTGCCTGGATCAGTGATTTGCTGACCAAATCGATGGTTTTTTGGCCAAAATGATAGTTCTGGGGTAAAATGAAATTGATTCCTGATTTTTCCGGTCCAATTGTCTGGTCCTGTCCGTTCTTGAAACCGTGGTGTGATCTACAGCATTTTTCAAAATTTTATGTTTGGAGAACTTTAATGTGTTCATAAAAGAAAACAAAACTAGTAGTAACTAGTTTAATGTATTTCCAATCTTCGTTAGCGCCGCTGGTTCTCCATCATGCATGCATATGATGAGTTTTCTCTCTCTCTCTCTCTTTTTCTCCAAGAACAACCGTAACTGAGGCAGCCACCATGACCTTAGCCATCCGATTGCGATCACAATCACGGCTTCAGTCGGTCGGTGGTCATCACGACGTGATGTCCAGGATTCCATGGAATTAATCGGTCTGCAGTGAAAACCCAGACATGTCTTGGACAAAAGAGAAAAGCCTCCGTAACTAAGTGGTTTGGAGTAACGACAAAAAAGCTCCAGATTTTGACTCCAAAGCTGGAGTCTCAGCCTATAAGCCCGAATCCTACGAAGTTCTTTGTCACAGATGCTGCAGAGTTCAATCCCAAATCAAAATTTTGTCTATTTATTTTCCGTGGGATTTCCTATTACCAGATTTCGTCTAGAAATCTTATGAATCTTTTGTTCTTTCTCCTCTCCTCTCCTGTTTTCCGTTTTAATTTATTGCAAATATTTAACTCTGATTCATCATATAAAAATAGAGGTTTTTGTTCTACGATGAAAATGAAAGCACTTAATCCCAGTTGCGGCTTAGGCTTTTGAAGATCATGCTCAATGTTAGGAGTGGAGAAAAGAAGAGAGGGATTGAGCAATTGACGGCTTAAGTGACGCTACCTTTTACATCCATAATCCAAACAATAACCAATGCATGTATATAACTAACAACCAGACCGGGCATAAAATGAAAGAAGAGGTACGGGTTAGAGGTTCAACCGGGGTTGAACTGTGATGATGTGACATATTCACACACACATACACATATATGGTGGTTGTCCCGTCTTATCTCTTCGGGTTAAATCCAGATGTCATGAAAGTCTATTTACATTTCATTAGTTCATGTTTTCTATGTATTATACTTTCACCTTTAACAAGATAAAGTACTTAACATTACATTCAGCCAATTACAAGGGTGCAGTGGATGCATCATACCATATATTGTGTCAAGATTTTTAATAAATTATCAAAAATTTCCGGTAAATATTTATCATTTTTATCATATTAATATTCTTTTTAATATGCAAATACTTTAATATTCACATTACTTCTTTTTATAATTAAACTTAATCACACAATATCCTACGGTTTAGACAATATATACGATGCAATTCTGAAATTTCATGAGAAAAAAAAATCAAAATACTATCTTAAATTAATCTACCCGAAATTTGGAGTTTCACCTTGCTTAAAATAACATCAATTTAATTATACCATCTGAAAACATTGGCAGTAGTGTGGGACAATGACACTATGACAGGTGAGAACGTGGATTATAAATAAATATTTTGCCCAGATTTGTTTTTTTAAAGTTGACTGGGATGGCCAGAATAAGAAAAGGGGCATTCCGAGAATTGAACTCGGGACCTCTCGCACCCTAAGCGAGAATCATACCACTAGACCAAATGCCCACTTTGATTTTCAAATGTCGTTGTACCTTTATATTGATCGAAGGCATCGCTCACATTAACAATGGTAAATCTGAATCAAGTAATCCAACCTCTAATTGTCTGGTTTGGACTTCTGAGTTCAAAATAAAAAAAAAAACAAAAAAATGGCCTGGGAATTAAAATGTTGACGATTTCTGATTGGTCCAAGCTTAGTGGATTAGGGAGTGTTTGGTCGTTTTCATTGTCTTCCATGGTCTCCAACCTTCAAGTGCCTGTGCCGCACATGGTTCATGGGGATGGGTGATGATAATCCATCGTTGTTTAGTTGTTTTATTTATTCCAAACCACCAACCACTCAACCAGGTCGGCCGGCTTTTCCCCACCCTTCTCAGGCCTCAATCCCCTTGTCCATGTGCTAAATGCGCTGCCGACAAGTAAAAAAAAACTAAAAAAGCCGCTCGGGTGGAGCCTGCTAAAGCAAGTCTAATTTATTAGACAATGATCCCTCTATATTGCTCTTATGCTTCTTATTTTCTGTTAAAAACAGAAACCCAGAAAAAAAAAAAAAACAGTAATTCTTTGAGAGTGGTGAGATGGGTGGGTCCAATTGTCCAAAGTCCTTTTGGATGCTGGTGAAGTGTCATAAACAAAGACATCAAAATCATCAAATATTTGATCTATACATACATTACAAGTGAAGAGATACCTGGAATTAGCAGTGGACAGAAAAGATTGCTCTGTTATGTATTCTTTTTGTTTTTAAATATTCTGCGTGTGATGAAGCCTCTAGCAAAGTGGGTGGGGTATCCAATTTATATGATGGTAGGTTTATTGACTTTCTTGGAGCTAAAAGTCCACCCCATCTTTGAAATGTTCATATTACAAAGGAGCAAACATGTTTGTAGCTAAATTTGACTTAGATTTAGCAGGCAATGAGTGCCCCTTTGGGAGGGCTTTCGTACAGCGGCTTTGTTAATTGTTATGTGAGCTGGGAAACCCGGAAAGAGAATAATACCATGACAACAAGAGAATAAATCCACATTCATATGCTACAAAGTCAAGGGTTTTTGAACAAAAAAAAAAAACAAAAGCAAGAATCCGTTTGATTCACAGTTGGAATCGGAATGAAAATGGTCTATTCCTATAGTCTGTTTGGTTCAGTTAGGAATGAGAATGGGAATTGAAATCAGCAAGAATGAGATTTCATTCCTAAGGGACAAGGAATGTCATTCTAACAGGAATGGGAATGGGATTTCGATTATACCCAACCAAATAATTGGAATTGAAATAGCCCATTCCGATTCCAATTCCAAACCCATATTTTTGTGAACCAAACGGGCCCTAAAATCATTTATTGTACATATGGCTGAATACACACACCAAGTGGGTCTTCAAAAAATCATTAGCTAGTGCTTGGTATCATTGCCATTTTCTCGGATAATGGTCACAATTTATCCAAGTTTGATGCATATTTGTATTGCTATTTGTTGCCAGTTAGGTGCCATATAAATAAAAAGGTGAAAATATTATTTTCATTGCAAGAAACTTAAAAGTGATGTTTTTAGGGAAAATGGCATAAATATACCCTGAGTTTTCATAAATTGACTTAAAGGTATTGTGAATTTTTCAAAAAGATTTAAATATACCTTATGGGTTGATTGAACATACCCTCCATCAATGAAAAGACACATGAACTTATTGAAAATTCTACAAATCCTATTTTACCCTTTTGAGAAAGAAGAAGAAGGAGGATGAACATAGAATGGTGGCAGAATAGAAGAGGAAAAAGATGATTAGTGGACTGGTTCGGTTAATAGAGAAAGAGGAAATTCCCCCCCACCCATGAGTTTGCCACCAACCATAACATCTCGAAGACGTTGTCGCTCGTAGTAAAGAACCTGAAGCACAATTTGCACAGGGAGGCGATGGTTATGAGTTGCGTTAGTTCCTGTGATAGCTTTTGGCACAATTTGCTCTTCATGTCAGTCGGAGCAAGATGAGACTTCAAGTATATATCTATGGTTCTTGCTTGTTCTAGGATTAACTCGGCAAGAGCATTGAATCTTGATACAGATAAATTATGGTTAGAAGCTATTTCATCAAAACAACTCTCCATTAGCTTTCCAACATGCTCCATGTCACTCATAGGAGGAGAGACATACTCTTCATTTGCAATGTAGCCCAAACGAGTGGCTTCCAATTCATAACCAAGGTAGTTCATCATGATCCATTGCATCATGTCCACATCAAACAATGTGTTTCCAATGAAGGAAAATGAAGGAATCAAGAGATCATCTAGTACCACTTGTTTGAGTTCTAGACCCATCATCTTCTCGAGATTAAGCATCCCACATGCAACCATTGTTTCTAGATATATTGTTGCACATAGAAGCATAGAGAGAAATCCAATGGACATTGCATTCTTCTCCATTGGAAGAAGACCATACCAAAATGACCCCATTGACCGAGATCCACTCCCTTCTTTCCATTGGAAATAAAAACCCACCCACCTCTAGCTTTGAGGATGCCCCTTATGGGAAATATCAAACTCTACATACCTCCACACATTCAGTGAAAGGCAATCAATCAATGAGAAGAGCCAAAACAAGAGTTCGAATGGTCTTCCAAACTTACTTATTCTTTCAGAAATACTAGGATGTAGTTGGCCCTAATGTGATTGAAGCAACTCGAGAAATTTTTAACTCTGGTTAAAAATTTGCCAATTAGCCTATACAAAACTCCATATAAAATCATTACAAAAATAATTGCTAACCGATTCAAGCTTGTCTTCCTAGCCGGGAGACAAAGATTTTGATGGCCCATGAAGTGATTCATTCTACGTGCAAATCTAAAAGAAAGTCAAAGTACATGACTATTAAGTTAGATATGATGAAGACATAGGATAGAGTGGAATGGAGTTTCCATGATAAAATAATGGCTAAGATGGGATGTGGTGAGAAAAGTAGAAGATGGATCATGTAATGTATTTGTGTAGTGTCTTATAAAGTCTTGATTAGTGGCTCTATAGGTAGGGTTATTAAGCCTTCTAAAGGACTCTAGCAAGGTAATTCCCTATTTCCATACCTTTTTCTTCTAGTTTCTAAGGTGTTATCTAAATCTCTTCAATAAACAAAGAAATGGGGAAAATTTTTGGGTATTAAATTGAAAAGGTACTGTCCAACTATTTCTCATCCTTTTTTCGTGGATGTTAGTTACATTTTTGGCAAAGCAAACCATGCAAAAGGTGGGGAAATTCTCTCTCTTGAAAAAATTTGAGATGGTCTCGGGTCAAAAAGTTGGTCTTTCCAAGTCTAAGGTGTTTTTTAGTAACACTGCTTATCCAAAAGTTTAAAGGCTGATTTCAAAATTTCTAAAAATTAAAAGGGTTGCCTACAGAGGTTGGGAAGTTAAAGAAAACAACCTTTAACTTCGTAGTGGATATGGTGTATAGAAGGGCAAGTGGTTGGAAAGAGAAGTATCTGTCTACTACAAGTAAGGAAGTTCTAATCAAGTCTTTCATAAATTCCATCCCGGTTTTGCACTATGTCAATGTTCCTTCTTCCTAAACAAATTTGTGAAGAAGTGAGTAGTATCCAAAGGAGGTTTGGGTGGAGGTGTTAAAACCATGGGCCAAATATTAATTGGGTCAGTTGAGCAAGGCTTTGTAAACCCAAAAGAGAAGGTGGGTTGGGCTTTAGAGACTTGAGAAGCCCTCCTAGCCAAGCAATGTATGAGAGTAATTCAAAGGCCTAACTCTTTGTTGGGCCAGAACCAAAATATTTTCCTAACTCTTCCCTCCTCAGTGCAAGATGTCACCAATATGCTTCATGGGCTTGGAGAAGTTTAATGATGGAAAAGAAGGTTCTAAAAAAAGGGTTGGTTTGGGCAAATTGGTGATGGCTTCTCTAGCAATTCTTGGAGCGATCCTTGGATTCCCTTTGTCTTGGATTGCAAGGTTCACATCAATAAGCCCTAAGACTGCCTCTTTGAAAAGGTGATTGACTTTATAAACCTAGCAACTAAGGATTGGGACTTGGATAGATTAATGAATGCTTTCCCTTCTAGCCTAGTGGAGGAAATTAAAATATATATATATTCCTAAAGATGAGGTGAGCGATATGGCTATTTGGCTTTTTGAGAAAACTGACAACTTCTCAATGAAATTGAATTTTTACGTGGCCTAGAAGATGGAAATTGAGGTTTCAAATGGTAGCAAACAGTGCATAGAGGTTAGGTTCACCTAGACAACACAAAACTTTGGAATTTCATCTAGAATAAAGATGTTATTCCCAAGGTCAAAATGTTTATGTGGAGAGTGTTAAACAAAAACCTTCTTGTTTACAACAACCTCTAGAAGAAAAAAGTGGTCTCAGATCCTTTGTGTCCTGTTTGCCTTCTTCATCCCGAAATAGTAGATCATGTAATCCTTCATTGCGAGTCTATAAGGTTTGATGGAAATTGTTGTCTCGGTTCATGATATGCTTCTATAGTGGGTGAAGGATAGTTCCATTTCTAAGGATGATAAAATGCAGCCGTGTTTGTTCTTTTTTGTTATATCTTGGCAACTGTGGAATAATAGCAACAATGTTATACATATAAGTAGTCCTCATAATCCTTTATCTTCTATTATTAGGTTGAACAAGTTGGTGGCGTAGATTCTGAGTATATCAGAAACACCCCCTAGTTTGATTGGCCTGGCATGATCTAGATCTGTTGGCATCCACCCCAGTGCTCCCCACACACATTTTGTAAAACATTTGGGTGGACGGTGCCTTTTTCTACGAATAGGTATGCAAGGGCAGGTGTTGTTGTGTTGGATAGAGAGAACAAGTTTTTGGCAGCTTCTTCTTCATCTATGATGCCGCAATCTCCCATCTTTGCTGAAGCATAAGCCATTTTCTCTAGTCTACAATTGGCTAAAATTCTATGGTGTTACTCTCTAACTATGAGTTATTATTAAAGTGTTTAAACTCTGCCTCTAGTTCTATCTCCCCTCCTTTTGAGGTTTGGCCTATTTTTGTGGACATCATGGCTGAGAAATGTGACTTTTCTTTGGTGGTTTTTATCCATGTTTCATGCAACTCAAACAAGGTCGTTCATTTTATTATTGGGTCCAGTAGCTCATGACTATCCTCTTGATGTATCTTGCCCTTAATTAATGAAATTTCGTTTTTTTATTGCTAAAAAAAGTATAACATTATAAATAATCATAAATCACAAACAAAAGACGAGAATCCTCCCAAAAATAGTTGAAAACCATAATGTTTAGCCTCCCTAGCTATACAATGGGTAGGGGTGTCAATTGATCGGTTTTAGGTTGGATCCAATCCGAACTAAAATTAATCAATTGAATTTGAACAGCCAAGTATAGAAATTGGGTTGGACTAAATCCAAATAAATTCATCCAAACTCCTATCGGTTTGATTTGGACTTAAATCAAATCTTCACAATAGAACCGGAAACCAGAACCTTTTTGTGTTTTATAGGTACTAGCTAGTTGTAGAGCATATTTGGGGGAAATTTTGCAAAAAAAGAGCTTTTTGAGATCAAGAAGATTAATAGTATATCGTGAAGAAGATTAATCTATAAAATGAACAAATTAAAAAAAAAAAATTGTGAAGATGCTTTGATTTTAATCAATGCTTTCAAAACCAAAGAAATCAGGGACCGTTTTACCCCAAAACTACTATTTGGCAAAAAACTGTTGGTTTGGTTAGCGAACCACTGACCTAGGTGGTCGATCCATTCGATCTAGGAAGGGCTTTTGGCCATTTTTTGGGTTTTTTAAAAATTTTATATCTTTTTATTAGAGTGGGCTGTCTGTGTTAGACCGGATGATTGGGCTATTCGATCCGGGAACTAGACCCTAGAACGGTTCCCTGTCCAGTCCTGTTTTAAAAATTGATTTTAGTGTTCCAAATTTTCTTTATTTTAATATACTTAAATTTTTTTATTAGAGTAGGCTGTCTGTGTCAGACTGGATGATTGGACTGTTCGACCCGGGATTGGATTGGATAATATAAAAAAAAATTGATATTTCATTTGATTTGGATTGGGTTGAATCCAATCCTGTCCATTTACATTTTAATGGATTGTATTGGATTTAGATTGGATTGGGTCCGGTCCATTTATAAATGGATTCGCATTGGACTGGATCGGGTTATACCAAATCCAATCCAATTGACACCCCTAACAATGGTAAGCATATTCCTTGACATATGCACATACTATATCTTCCATAATTTAAAAGACTAATACAAAAAGATAGTCTTATCCTGGAGAGTATGGCAGTTCCATGGTATATCCAAAAGACCAGTGCCTAGAGCTTTATCTAAAATGAAATTTCGTTTTAGGGTAATTTCCTTAAATTACCTCTATTGTTTATGAAATTAACTAACTATACCCTTATTGTTTACATATTCTCTTAAAATATCCTTACCGTTGCTAAAAATTGATATCACCATTAAGTGCTAGCCCTTCACTATTCATCAAATTTCAAATAAAACCCAACTGATGTGCAATTCCAATGATGATGTTTTGGAGACGGATGGAATTTTCCCTTCGTTCATCCCACCAGGAAGACCCCTGAGGTGCGCCCAAATACGCTGATCCGGTCTCTCCCCTCTTTCTTCCATTCCATTGTTAGATTTTTCTTTTCCCCTTTGTTCTCTTCCTCTCTCTCCCTTTCCCTGTTTCAATCGCCGCTGCTTGCAACGGTGGATCTAAACACAATGGTGGAGCAGTGCTCTTAACACACAACGGCGGAGCAGCGCTCTTAATACACAACGATGGAGCAGCGCTCTAAACCCAAAACTTGATGTTACACTCAAGATTTGGGGAAAAAAGAAGCAAAGCAAAAGCCCAAGCAAGGTACCTCTCTTGCTCAGAGAGACTGACATCCACAGGCATATGTCTTCTCTTCTCTTCTTTCTGATTCCGACTTCTTTGTTGTTCAGACACACGAGGAGAAGGCTCGTTACTGTTAGGAAAATACGTTTCCAGTTTCTCTGTTCTGATGGTTGGGTTCCAATCTACTCTGCTTTGCTCTGTTTTGTAGGTGGATCATGTGATCCATCCATGGCCTGACACTTTGAATTTTGATAATATCGTGATTCAGGATTCCTTTTCCTAAATGGGTGGTGGAAGAGATAGAGAGAGATCCAGACCTCGATTACACAAATCAATGGGGAAAGAGGAATTATGAATATGTCTCTTTGGGCTGCGACCACCTTCTGGTGCTCAAGGGTCAAACGCTCGTTCAGTGCTATGCTGACTTCATGCAAGCTTTCAGGGACAACTTCAAACACCTTCTTGGCGACACCATCGTGGTAGTTACTTGACTTACTTCTCTGCATTAATCTTTAGCATCGGTAGCTTAGTCTATTTTCGATCAATTCGCTTAGCTTGGAATTGCATTGTTCATTCAAGAAATCCAAGTGGGAATGGGTTCCAGCAGGAGAGCTCCGTTACCCTTCATATCCAGAGAAGAATGGAAGATGGAGGTTCCCAGGTATAGAAGCCTTCCAGTGTTTCGACAAGGTAAGGAAGGGAAGGGTCTTCCATCTTTTCTGTTGCACGATCGGATATCTTCCCATTTTCAAATGGGTGTGTCTGTTTGGATGATTGCAGTACATGGTCAATAGCTTGAAAGTTGTCGCTGAAGTTGCTAGCAAGCCTGAGTGGGGTCATAGTGGCCCTACAGATGCTGGTCACTACAACAACTGGCCAGAGGATACCCAGTTCTTCCACTGTGATGGTGCCAGTTGGAATAGTGCCTATGGTGAAGTCTTCCTCACTTGGTACTCCTAGTTGCCCCTGAACCACCGTGAAATGATACTGTCATTGGCCGAGTCCATCTTCCAAGGCACCGGTGTCAAGATCTCGGTGAAGATTGCAGACATCCATTGGCACTACGAGAGCCGGTCTCATGTCCTTGAGCTTAGAGAAAGCGGAATTAGAACTCGCTCCCACCTGCTTCTACTTAGTAACATTCAGTGCTTACCTCACTCCCTATCACCACACCGGGAGGGCATTTTAGGAATTTTAAAATAATTATTACTCATGTAATATTATGTGAACGAAGTGTGACATAAAATTAATAGGAGATTTCGAACAATTATAAAAAAAAGTTAATAATATAATAGCTAAACAATAAGAGTGGAGTTAATTAACTAAACATTAAGGATTTTATTGAAATTGCCCTTCGTTTTATTAAAAAAAAGCATGTTGCATTGCAATATATGGACCCACCATTTTATTGGATAAGCAATTGGCAAGGGCATTTTCAATTTCCCTGCTGAGGCATAACTCAAGCCTAAGCCCTGACCAAAGTTGACAGCTAAAATCGTCAAACCTCAAGCCATCATCCACGCGTCGACAATCGACGTATGCAACTCCCGTATTACTGTCATTCTTTTGGATTCTAATCTGATGGCTGATCGGTCGTGTTTATATAAGCAGACCTTCTTCCCTGGTGTACAAAAGCAACTGTGATAGTAACATCTTTGTGCAATTGTGCTCCTTTCAAAGGAAAAAGGAAACGTTATCTCCATTCCCCAGTCCAAAGTGCAAACCAAAAGCGAGGGAAAAATATCTCGTGAAACAACACAGCGAGCGCCGAGTGACGGACTGAGGGGAAAATATCTCCTGAAACAACCGGCGAATCCTCTACCGACGACGACGAATTCAACAGGGAAGGCCTGTTTGAGTAACACCTTTCTGATGTTTCTTCGCTTTCTTGTGATTATCGCTTCGCTGTAATGGCTATATCACCTACGTTTCTTCCCACCATGTCTCTTAACGCCCTTTTGTCTCAATCTTCATATTCATCTTCACTTCTGTTTCCTGTTAGACTCAAAAGTCGTCCCATGATGGGTTGTCAAAGCACACCTGGGAGGATAGTTCTTAACTGTTCTTCTTCTGAAATGGGTCCACTCTCGGAGTCTATGAAAATCAGGTATGCCTCTTGCAAGTTGTTCTTTCTGTTTATTTATCGAATCTCAGGTATGCTTCTTGCAAGTAATTTTGTGTTTTAATTTTGTTTTTCTTTTGGGTGAACGGAGTTTGATGAACGATTACCTACTTGCCTAGTTTGTAAGCCATGAGACCAATTGTTCGTCTTGGACTTGGATGTTTAGAATATTTAGGAAGGAAGTTAGGAAATCGCAATTGGATATTATATTTAGAAATGTTTGTGTTTTGTGAATTGGTTATTCAAGGTAAAACAATGTATATGCCGTTATTGGTAGATTTAGACACATTGTCATTTTTGCTCTGCTATAAGAATTACCGAGTGGGAGAAAAACACGAAAAGATAGAGTGCATTTTTTATGTTAGCGCATCAGTTTATGTTTAACTGTTCTTCTACAAGTGATCGGCATTCAGCACAGGCAATTGATAAAGTTTCTGAATGATAAGGAACCTATTTACATCTCCTGATGGATAGAATGCTAGATATTTATTCTTTAAGACAGTTACAATTATGTGAGCTTGGGTTGAAATTGGGGCAGGTTGACTGAAGTGATGTGGAAAGAGCATATAAAAGAAATTAAGGTATATAAGTGCTCCCAGATTAGTGAGTAGTACCAATAGCTTATTTACCACTTGGCTTTTGATGTAGGATGAATATTTGATACTGTAAATAAACTACCATCATCAATTGTTGATGAAGCTTAGATGCATCTTGTTAATCTTTTTTACTGGTTCATCCTTGACTCTGCACTAAATTATTGCAAAAGTTTTTTGTTGAAGTTGAAAAGACATAACAACCCTTTCTTCCATTCTTGAGCTAAGTGGTGCTAACTAGAGCTTTTGAAATGGGTACATTTTATTTTGGTAACCAAGAAATAAAACATTCCTAAAATCAGTGCAGAGGGTATGAGAATGTTGTGATGAATGCATGCTAATACTAATGATAAATGTATGGTATTCCAAGGAACTGAGGGTAATTCAAATTAGTGACTGAAAAAGAGAAAGTAGATTAAGATGGATTGGCCATTTGAAATACAGATCAGTGATTGTACCATAGTTGATACAAAATTTAAGTTTTTAGAATGACCCTCCCAGAAAATTGAGCAAGTGCTTTGGTTAGCATTATAGACAATTGATTAGCTAGCTCATTCTAGAATTCATTAATTTAAGCTCATATCTTTGATGTTTGAACTTTTAAACTTTTTGCTTTCAGATTTTATTTGCTAATTTTCCATCTCAATTGACTTAGGAGGTAAGACATAACAAATTTGTACCCCTTAGAGCATCATGTGCTTGCTTGTCTACTTGTTAATATCTTCAATGCAAACAGACAACCTCGGATGTCAACTACAACACCATTCAGATTATCAATGGATGAAGCTGGAAAGTCAAGGCCATATAAATGGCAAAGGGTTTTGCTTAAAGTAAGTGGAGAAGCACTGGCAGGAGACCGCACACAAAATATTGATCCAAAGGTGGATAATGGGTGACTCAGTATAATCTGTTGTTTGCGTCCCTTGATTATCTATTAATCATTGCAGCTATTTGCACTTTTGCAGATTACAATGGCCATTGCAAGGGAGGTTGCATCTGTAACTCGGCTTGGCATTGAGGTAAATGTTCTGGTTGTCTTTTAGCTCTATCTGGTTTGCATTTTTTGCCATTCAACTCAGTGATTTTTAATTCATGTTTGATTCAGTTTCTTGGTGGTAGGATTGGGTTGAATCTAGGAACTAAAATGACACGTTTCTTTGGATGGTTGTAAACTGATATGTTTGCTTGCCTCATCTTGAGATGCATGAGGTCTGAGTTAGTTTCTTTTACTGAATGTTTAGGTTGCAATAGTAGTTGGTGGGGGAAATATCTTCCGTGGATCTTCATGGGCAGGAAGTAGCAGTCTTGACCGTTCATCTGCTGATTATATTGGGTAAAAAACTCTTGCTATCTTTTTTGATGCATTATCTCAGATGATAATTGTTATAGGCATCATTGTTCTTGATTTATTGAAGACCTATTTATTTGTTTATTTGATGAGCTATTTGTTTTTCAATTCTGTTGTAATTACCTGCATCTCAGCTGGGGAACAGACATACTGATGCCCCTCTTTTTCTTATTTATTTTTGATTGATATTACATTATTACTCCAAGACTTGTAGTTTGAATCCTAAATCTAAATCAAGTTATCTTTCTTCATGTATTCTGAACTTTAATAGCTATTGTATGGTGAATACATGGTGTAGGATGGTGCTGTGTGCCTCACAGATTTTCTCTAAAGTATGAAATATTTCGTAAGAGGTATACTAAAATTTGTTTTTATCTTACTAACATAAAGAGATTGTAAAAGTATAGATTTATAAAAGACCATGAACCTGGTTCAACCCATCTTAAACCAATGGCTAACCTGGTTTACAAGGCAATTCAAGACAAGTTGAAAGGCAGAATGGGCATAGGCCAGTGACCAACAACTGGCAAATAACTGGCCACCACTTGCTGACATGGCAAGAAGATTCTAGAAAAAGGTCCTTTAGGAAAAGGAAAAAAATATAGATAGGGTACCCATTTCTGATTGGGGCCCCAGATTTTCTCTCTTACCCTTGGACCTGAACTCTCTCTTCTCCTCCCTGGGCCCCAGATTTCCTCTGTCACCCTTGAACCCGATCTCTCTCTCTCTCTCTCACACACACTCACACACTCACACACACACACACACACAAATTCACCAATTCCCTCTTTTTCTTTTTCCACCGTGAAACTCGCTCCACCGCTATTCTCCTCAAAACTTTCAGAGCCTGAATACAGTCATCATCTGTCCACCAGCTTGGCAGAGTCCATGGGCTTACAGGAATATTTCAGTATACAGTGACAAGAAAATTAGTGGGAATGGGATAATGGGATCTCAGCATTTCTAGGTATTATGAAACCTATGGGAAAATTGGAATTAATAACTTGTCATTATGGAATTCCTTTAGGTTAGTGGCTTTTTAAGTTAAGAAAACTACCAAAAAAAAGGATGTGGGATAAAGAAAGGGCATTACCCAATGTGTTTTGGGAGGGTGGAGTGGACTGGGAACCTAATGTCTAGTATTTTGTGCATGAAGTGTCTACTCTCAGTTCAAACCTACATTCTTGCACTTGTAGAAAAAGAATGTGGGATATTTCATTATTTCTTAAAAAAAAAATTGGGATATTGGGATTTAATAAGAAGATTTGATAAAATAAAAGAAAAATGAGGGCAATTGGAACAAGAAATGGATATTTGCTGATCGTTTAAGGTGGTTGAATAATCAAGGTTCTGATCTTGATTGGTCATATTGGCTTCTATATCCTTGAACTTCTCTGCAAAACAAGAACAAGATACAGATAATATATTTTTTTTTTGAAAAATTAAAGTATTGTATTATATTATTTAAGAGGGGAAGGTTCCCTCAAGCTAAATACAAGAGAGAATTATGCAGGCCTTTACACCTGTGCAAAAGGTATGCTGAATGTGAAGACTGTAGCCATTATTTACTCATTTACAATATCAACAAAAAGAATACCGTTCACTGATTTGTAACTCATTTTTACTTGCGCCTTTGAACTCCTTATGCACAGGATGTGTACAATGGGCTACGTAACCCAATCATGAATAAGTATGACAGTTGCTGGTAAATGTAACAGTATATTGTCAATGTCTTTGTTCATGATTGGGTACCTTAACCTGTTTTTAGTAGATCCAGAGTCTTATTTATGGAACTTACAAACAAGAGTTCCTAAACTAACCTTTTACTTATCCTGAAAAAAAGACTTGTTCTTAAAACAACTAGGATGCTCTCTAAAACTAAACTAGGATGTGTAGCTAACTTTCTCAAGAAAGGAAATTTAATCAAATTTAAAATAAAATCTTAAATAAGTGTATTAGCATCACGGTTTCCTCATTTCTATGATTGCCCCCTATTAAAGTAACTTCCCAACATATGCGACCTCTTCAAAAATAATGATGAAATATCACATATAGGCTAATGGATTGACATGACTGGGGATAGGCTTATAGGCTTATAGGCCATCTCAGGTGCATGATGGGCTGCAGACCATGGGACTTCAAGATGGGCTGGCCCACATCAGTGCAATGACCTCAAGCAATTCTATTTTCCTACTTGGCTGGCCTTACCTATATATTTTTGTTATTTTACACAACACAGTGACACACTAATTACTCTCAAGGTAGATGGTAACAGGTAGCGGGACTCGAATCCGCAACTCTGCTGGGACTTGTATAAATGAACAACCTATCTTTTTTAAAGATAATTAACTTGGACTGAAACATTGTGAACTTGGAAGAATAGGTTCCTTGGTACCTTTATTTGTTTATTTCTTCTTTGTTTCTTCTTTCTGGTTCTTTTTGGGGCCCAGGGCCGGGGCATAATTACCACTGAAGCACAGTCTCAGTAATTAAATGCTTGCAGTTAACTTCCTTCCAACTGCTTTAATTGGATTTTCCAATTGTTTAGGATGCTAGCAACTGTAATGAATGCAATATTTCTGCAAGCAACGATGGAAAGTATCGGAATCGCAACACGAGTTCAGACAGCATTCCGGATGTCTGAAGTGGCAGAGCCCTACATTCGGAGAAGGGCTATAAGACACTTGGAGAAGGGAAGGGTAGTTATCTTTGCGGCAGGAACCGGGAACCCCTTCTTCACAACAGATACTGCTGCAGCCCTTCGCTGTGCAGAAAGTAAGTCAAATATTTTTATATTGGTGGAACTAGATTACTAATTTAGTATTTTAAAGTCAATTATGGAGTAGGTTCCAACTATCCAATCTGTGTGCCTAACTTAGAATATCCTTTTCCCTCTTATGGACGTAGACTATCCTATTCATCCAAAGATGGACTTCTGGGATGTTGCCCTCGATTGATGTTAAACTTGTTTCCATGGTAAACCTTTATTATGTTCCGTACAAGATAATGAGATCTTTAGATGCTCACCATTTTAAATTTGCAGGTAATGGCACCGTAATGGCTGGTCATCTGAACCTGGCTGGGCAGTGCCCTAGCTTAAATCCCTCTAAAAGATGTAACTGATCAGATATTTAGTACCATATGTAAATATATTTCTCTTTGAAATAGAGGATCTTAGAACACCATGTACCTTGCTTACAAAATATTGACTTGTATTGTTGATGTAGTAAATGCAGAAGTTGTACTCAAGGCTACAAACGTTGATGGCGTCTATGATGATGACCCTAGGTTTAACCCAAATGCTCAGCTCCTTGATTCTTTAAGTTACCATGATGTGACATCAAGGGATCTATCCGTAATGGACATGACAGCCATAACTTTGTGTCAAGAAAACAATATCCCTGGTATGGCAGAGTGTTTAAATTGGTTTATTTTCAGAAGCAAAGCATTGATGCCCTGATTACACCAAGGTTCTTTTTTCATGATGCAGTTGTTGTCTTCAATTTAACAAAGCCTGGCAATATTTCGAAAGCAATTAGGGGAGAAAGAGTTGGCACTTTGATCGGTGGAACATGGAATTCAACTGCAGCAAAGATGTAAAAAGCCAAGAGGGTTGGCACCTTTGGAAGGTGATTGTTTCTATTGTGAGGTTAGGAATTTTCTGGGAGCTCCTAATAGGCTTTGATGTCTAAACTGAACGGCTCAAAGCATCTGTAGAGTGCCAGATTGAGGGAATCTGACAAGAAACATTATAGTTTTTTAAGCTTGGAGAAATTGATTTCAGGCTTCTGATTTGATTCATTCAGCAGTGCTGCAGTGGGTGATGGTTTATGAAGAACCACACTGTAAATATCTTTTGTATAATACTAGAATTAGATGCTGGAGGACTTGGTGGAATCTTTGACTAGGCGAGACTCTACAACCAACACTAATTTAGAATTGCATGTAGTAGTTATCATCCACTTGATACTCGATAGCCATTGGCCAATAGAAAAAAAAAAAAAAACAAAAGGGAACAATTGGGTTTGGACCTGACAATGCAAACAAACAACTGTCAACTTTTTGTTTGTCTTTTGAAATTGATTTATGAAATAGTTTTCACAAGGCCGGCGAATAACCACAGGAATTCCAAGCTTTTTAACTATTGGGGTTTGTACTGTGCAGTCCACCCACAGAAGTCTTGGATCTACCTTACAGTTGGGGTAGGTGTCATCTCGAAATTGATGCTAATTTACTGGCCGGTGTGGGTGTTATAGGTTGAGGTGTTTAAAATTTTGAATTGTTACGGTCACGGGTTTGATTATTGGGTTAAATGGTCTGATCGTTTAAAATAAATGCTTGGCCAGTTCTGACAAAAAAATTAAAAAATTAAAAAAAATAAAAAACGATTAAAATTGTTCAAATGGTTAATCGCTCGGTTCAGCAGTTCACTGACTAAAATCAACAGTTTTAAAGGAAAATCTGATTTTTGGGGAAAAGGATTTAATCTGATTTTTCTGATTAGATTTTGAAAAAAAAATTTGGACATGGTTATGACAGGGTGGGCCTAATTATGATAAACGACTTTTTCCATACTTTTGATTCACTGCATTATAAATGACTGACACCACTCTTGTATACTTGAAAGAATTTCAAGAGATGAATTAAAAGTGAAATACATGACTGGTGATGGAGTTGATATTGGACAGCTCTATACATATGACTAGTCAATATGGTCATCAGTCAGAGTGGGATTTGCTATGTCAGCCCTACTTGACTAGATTTGCCACGTAAGCCCTTCACATCCCTTCTGAGAAGTGGGAATCCATGTTTCTGCTGCCTACATGGGCCGCCAAAAGAGAATGGTATTACCTCTGAGGCAGTGAGGCTGACCCATTTATTGAAGTTCAAACATTTACTTGCACGTAATTACCCAACTTTGTGGTAGAAAAACACCCTTGTTCATCCAAGACTAAGATGTTTTTTTTTTGATAGATAAGACTAAGATATATTTGTTCAATCCAAAATGGTCAGATTGTTACTAGCCATAATCTAACTTTAATCCATCCATCTAACTATATTTGTGGCCTTGTTCTCATCAACTTAAACTAATATTTAATTCTAATCTTCTTTATTTCGTATTGTTCATTGAACGTGGTCCATCAAAGCCACCGCCATATACGTTTCGCCATCAAAAGAAATAAATAATGACTTGGTTAATTGACTTGGTGGTTCCAAATCTCTATGCAAATGAGCCTTATCAGAGTGTGGCTTTCCCTTGTTTCGAAAAGGTTATTTGAGTAAATCAAGGTGGTCACAATGCCTAAGTACAACACGGACTGGAACGTTTTACTGACCGACCAGGCCTGTAAGAAGACCTTGGACTGACTTCAATCCAACCTGCTGGTCAGTTAGACCTGTCAAAATAGGTCTGTTCAACAGTGGGTGGCTTATGAGTAAACAATTTATTGTTTAATCTGAAACCGGGCCCACCCACTTTATTGTGCAGTTTGGGTCAGTCTTGGGTTCAACCCGATTCAGCCATCCATCCGGCTCGTGCCAGGGTCTTAGAACAGTTACGTATTTGGTGCAGCATGTACAGCACCGTTTGTATAATGTGTAGGTTAGAAGTACTGTTTTTTTGATAAAATGGTGTTTATTTTTATTTGGAAAAATTGCCTACTACATAGGACGTTTTTTTAGGGCAACAGCAATAATTAGCTCTAAATTAAAAAAAAAAAAAAACATCAAATTCAGCGTTTTTCTAGACCATGCCTTCTCGATTCTCAAAACGTAATTTGGAACACTATTTTTTATGAAAAACGATTTTAAATATACTATCATTTTCTGAAACACCAATTTTGCCAACGGCATACATGCCTAACACCCCCCACATTAATCAACAACCATGTAAAAAAAGCAAGTGTAGAGAAGCCCTAGCTAAGGGAAGAAGGATAATACAAAAGAATAATTGAACGGTTATTGTTACAAATTACAAGCCACATGTGTTAACAAAAAATGTTATCAGATAGAAAAAAGAAGATAAGATGTGAAGGACATGCGGGTTGGATTATCGACACATGGCCCACATGGTTAAAAGCCCATTCAAGACTTATCAACTGTACCACTAAGAAGGAAAAAAGAAAACCAAAAATACCTCTCAAGTCCCAAGTTCTGTGACCTCTGTCCCATGAGTTACCGATTGCCCCACCATTGGGAGAAGATTCTTCTCCCTCGTGTCAACCAAATCAGATATCTCTTTCCCCTTCTTCTTAAATCTGTTTTTCTGTGTTTCTGCTGGAAAAGATGGCTAAAAATCTGAGAAGGGATTGAAGAGATCAAGTGATGGGGTGGGAGAAATATTAGGAGGTGATAAGAAGGCGGAGGGGCTGGACATGAAGAAGCTTTCTATGTAGTTCTTGTTACCATGGAAGATGGGGCTGAGTTCATGCAGGAAGCCGAGCGAAGTCGGATCAGACGGTGGGGAGAAGAAATTTGGAGAGATGGGTGGGAGGGAAGACGGGAGAGGCGACAATATCCCCGGAATTGAACTCGTTCTCTCCACGTTAGCACCCATTTCTACTCCATGCGCCATGTCCAAATCAACCGCCCTTCTTGACTTGTCAGGAGAGGTGTTAGTCTTCTCGATGGCCGCGAACCGGGCTGCCGGAGAAATTGCACAAGTAGTATCAAAAGCAGACGAAGAAGCACCAGCCCCGGCGTCGGAAGCATCAGACGATGTCGGAGACGGGCCAGTAAGGCGTTGAACTAATGTCATGAACTCGCTAGCATCCGTGTGAATTACCTTGGGAGAGACAGCGTAAATTATAACTGGTGGGCGATTTTGGGCCGGCGGCTGCGGGGGGTGAGACGGCTGGGGCGGCACCGGCGGCTTCTTGATCTTGTAAGAGTCTTTACTGACTTTGAGGGGGGTTGGGCGGGGGCCCTGGAGTTCCCTCCGGGGAGAGGGCCTGCCGGTGGGGGGTTCGGAGAAGTCCATGACCGGAAAATCAAAGAGGGAGTGATCAGGCGATGAGGGAAGGTGGTGGTGGTGTTGTGGTAAAAGGCAATAAAGCATCTCTCTGAAATCAAGAAACTCAAGAGCTGACATCAATATTTAAGCGCACAAAGTCAATGGAAACTGGGGATTAAAATAAAGTTAATAAACCCGCCCCAAAATTGTGTTGAAATGGGGCTTGGGCCTGGATTTCTTTTTTCGGGCATTAAATTTTGGGACTGGTAGAGTCTAGAGACTAGAGAGAGTGGGCCGGTTCCGTGGTGGTGCTTTGAATTTGTCTCTCGCTCCTCATGGGGGAGGGTGGGGGCGGGGGCCTCTGCCACGTCAGATAGGTAAATGGTGATGTACGCCACCCACGTCATCTCATTTAAGAGGTCCGATTGTGAGTAACGTGAAATGACTATTCTGACCCTGTTCTATTGTTTATACTTTTATATTATTGTAAACCAGTGAGCGCTTTTCTTTGGTGGGTTTCCATTGACGGCTTCCACTTCCAAGCTTCTCAATAACAATAATAGCAGCAGCTTTCCCCAATGAAAAGCGCTAACGTCAATGGAAACCCACCAACAACAGCGGCAGCCGCAGCTTTCCCAAGTTAGGGTGTGTTCTTTAATGTAAATTGTTTCACTTGTTCTCCTTTATGCATGAGTTTTTTGTTTTAAAAATAAAATAAAAAATAATTTTGAATTTTTGATTTAGAGAACATATTTTCATTTGGTTACATCAATTTGATGGTTTCAAATCATTACCATCTTGTTTTTGTTCCACGGAAAAAACTATAGTTCAAGAACAATTTTTTATTTTTTTGCTGATTTGGCAAATTCAAAAATGAAAACAAAACCATTCACGTAAGATATTTACTCCAAAATTTAATTTAATTTTGACTTTCTTAAACAAAATCGATTATGTTTGCTTCTCAAAATTCAAAACTGGAGTTCAATACTTGCAACAATGCTATTGACTCGGAAAATAGTTGATTAAGTGGATGAAGTTGGATATGGTCCATTCATTAGTTTTGTAAGAATAACACTTTTTCCATGGAGAAAACGATATCGGCTTCAGTGATTACAGCTTTTTACAACCCCGGATTGGGAATATCTCCAGATATTCTCAATGCAAGGCTGCAAAGGATGTGTGGATAGTGTGCATTGAAGCCGATTTTGGACAAAACTTTGGTCTTTGGCTGTCCACTTTTGACAGTCTGTGCTGCATTTCCTATTGCCTAGGATGTCAGTGAGTCGGGTCCGACCTGACAGACCCGGACCAGTTGGGTCGATTTTGGCTCTTAATATATTGTCTTGATTATCATCAGTTTGAAACTGGTTCTATCTATCCATTGGTCAAACCCACTTGTCCTGAAAATTGATCGGTTTGGTTTTGGGTCTAAAATTACAAAGCCTATTGGGTCTGGTTTGGTTTTAGGTTCTTAGTATTTCTTGTAAGGTCAGTTACAATTCTACCTAAACTCCGCCCAGACCTAACCTATTGACACTCCTAGTATTGCCTATAGGCTCTTTTCATGGGCACCACTTACAATCTAAAAGCCTAAACTATTGGGTTATAAGCCACTCTTGTATATGAGGAGTTGAAATCAGCTCCCCACAAGATAATTTCCTACAACTTCCCACAACACATTCCCACTGTGTATTGGGAACATCTCCCGATGATGCCTCATCATTTCTGGTACTTATCATTAGGAGATGTTCCCAATACACGGTGGGAATGTGCTATGGGACATTATGGGAAATTATCTTGTGGGGGGCTGATTTGAATTCGTATGAATCCCTTGCACCTCTCATTGCTTTCCAATGTGGGTGTCTCTTTATTTCATACATTACTCACATGTGAATCCCAACACTTACCATGGTTACTATTATGTTTAATGATGTCACAATGCTGGTGTGTTATTTCTAGGCCCCATTAGTGGCTCTTATAGTTAATGGCACCACTTATAGGGAGCACAAGCCTAGAGTCCATGGTTACAACATGAATGTTTTTGCTTTCATTTGTTTTTGAAATCACCACATCAGCAAAAAAATATAAGATGTTCTTGAACTCTGTTTTTGTTTTCAAAAGGGAAAAACAAGTTGGTTTTATTTTGAAAGATAAAATATGTTTTTTAAACCAACAAAAGATTGGTTTCTAAAACAAAAACAAATATTTTAGTATGAGAATTATATAATTTATGGAATATGATGTTGAATAATTAGATGAAAACATGAATTTGAAACTAGATTCAAGAACATGTTTTCTGTTTCAAATTTGAAAATAGAAAATACACCTACAACCAAGAATATATTTTTTATGTTTTTGTTTTAAGAAACAATCTGTTTTTAAACAAGATGGTTTTGATTTGTTTTTGAAACCAACAATAAGAAAACCAATTCATGTTATAGAATGCCCCCTAAATATACAAAGATTTCGAGGTGCAATAAAAAAATAAAAAACATAATGGAATACTTTGAATTTATTAAGGTGATAATTAAACCAAATCAGTTAAATCCACAACCAAAAAGTAAGATATCATTTCTCTATGCTTTTCTTCTCTCTAACAAAATATTACTTATATCAGGCTTTTACACGAACCACAAATGAACCTGTCAATCAATTAAAACAAGGTAATATGTCAAATATATATTCGAATGGGATGAAGAATCCAAAAATGCATATTTTCAGTCAAATAATAGTCAAAAGGAACTACGTTACAATGACCTAATGATATCTAATGTTTCTAAAACTTAAAGAAACATTTTTTTTTTGTTGGAATTGTTTCACCAATACATTCTTTTTGTTGTCTTTTCATCGATAAATTTTTGTCTTTACTATCAATAACCATAACAATAATGATGATAAGCAATTGAGGGTCTGTTTGATTTGCAGTCAAAATGGGAATTAGAATTGAAATCGGAATCAAAATCCTTTAGAATCAGAATCAGAATGACTTATTTCTATGGTTTGTTTGGTTCAGATAAGAATGAGAATGAGAATTGAAAACAGTAGAAATGGGCATTTCCAAGGGATGGGCAGGGAATGGCCATTCTCTCAAATGGGGGAATGCCATTCCAACAAGAATGAGAATGGGATTCTGATTCCGCTCAACCAAACAGGGCCTGAGTGATTTGACTTTAGGGAGCAGGATTGGTTGTTGGGATATTTACTAAGCTTCCTTAAAAGACTAAAGATCTTAGACGTGGCAAACTAGTTTAGAGAGCTCCGAGTCTGCTAATTCCTCCCTCCATACTCTAATCATAGAAACAAATTTCAACCCAGAATTGTTTGCCATGTTTACAAAATGAGCCCACTCTTAGGCCCCGTTCACTTTTTGGTAAGTTATTTATCCGGGTAAATGCAATTACCTGGGTAGGTTTTTCTTGGGAAACACTTACCTGGGTAAGTGCATACCCATGTTCATTTATTTCCAAAGTAAATAAGGCAATGACCGTTTTAGCCATAAAAATCCATTATTAAAGGCGCCATTCTTGTCTCATTCAAGTGTTGGCAACTTTCCCTCTATGTGGGAAAGTTATTTACCCACTTAGGAGAAGTGATACCCAGGAAAATAAACTTTTCCTGGTGCCCACATAAATCTGAAAAAAGAACATGGGATTCTTGGTCAATGGGAAGTTCCTGTCGACCAATTTCCCCCCTCTCAAAATCCAAAAAAAGAACGCCCCCTTATTTTTTTTTTCAGATTTATGTGGGATTTTGATTTTGAGAGGGGGGAAGTTGGTCAATGGGATTTTGGTTCCCATTGACCAAGAATCCCATGTTCTTTTTTCAGATTTATCTAAGGACTAGGAAAAGTTTATTTTCCTATGTATCACTTACTCGGGTAAGTAGTATCCATCTCCTAGGTGGGTAAATAACTTTTTCACCTGGGGGGAAAGTTGCCAACACTTGAATGTGACAAAAATGCCCCTTTTAATAATGACTTTTATGGATAAAATGATCATTGCCTTATTTACTTGAAAAACAAAAGAACATGGGTAAATGCACTTACCAAAAAACGAATGGGGCCTTTATGTTAAAAATTTTGAACTTTGAACAACTGATATTAGTTGTGAAAACCCCAATGAAAAGCAAGGCATAAGGCTGATACGGAGTCTGAGATTGAACATGTGGTGAATCCAGTTGACCTATCTGATAAACAGTCTAGATCAACCACAAGATCTCTTCATGTTGCAGAAATATGTGGGTTTATGTAGGGAAGCTCCCTACTTGATCCCATTTAGGGAACATTTTTCCTTGGACTTATTTGTCATGATTTAAGAATATCAGAATAGATATGCAATAAAGCAACCTAGAAAGGTAGATCAATATTCATAGTTCATGTAAACTAAAAAAATGTGCCCTTTATGTTCCAAGCATAAGAATCACTTTACCGAGCTACTGGATTATATTAACATTGTATTTTTATAGAATTTTTAATTTCCATAGTATTCTCTACTTGACTCAACTCAACTAAGCTCTCAACAACTATAAGAAGTCAACAACATTAATCCTATTCTGCCATGCTGCTTTGTTCAATGTCATATCCATTGTTAAATTATGAACCACTTAAATCATTTTCCACTAGTTCAATCCATGTCCTTTTGGTCTTCCCACAGCTCTTTTAGACACTTCAACTTGAGATCAAATCAACCCCCCACAATGTCCCACAGCACATCCCGGCCATATATTAGGAATATTTCTCAGTGATGATACCAGAGATGATGATGTGGGACATTGTGGGGGGCTGATTTGAATTCATTCAACTTATAGTCCATCACACCTTTCAATTTTTTACTGGTGTTGTAGATGGTCTTCTCATTACTACACCAAACCATCTTAGTATACTTTTCTTCATTTTATAATCTATTAAAGCCATCCTAGGTCTTTTGAATTAACTTAATATTGACCTTATCTTTCTAGTTTTCCCACTAATCCACCTGAACATTCACATTTCTACTACACTCATTTTTTGGAAGTTATTTTTTAACTTCCCAGCATCTTCTCCACAGAAAATTTCTGGCCTTGGAGTATTTTATAAAATTTTCCCCTTAGCCTAAAGGGTATTCTCCTTTAAAATAAGGGCTCTAGATGGCACCCTTCCATTTTTATCATCTTTCTCTAATTCTATGGGTGACAAACTCCCCAGTCTCTCCCTTGTTATTAAATTAAGGTAATGGAAGAGGTTATGTTGAGATATATCTTGGCCTCCAATCCTAAGTGCACACTGATTTCTTCTCTTATTATCAATAAACTTACATTGCATATATTCTATTTCGGTCCTACATATTAAAACCTTTGTTTCTAAGGAATTGTCCACAAATCTAAATTTACATTTAATCCCTCTCTAGATTCATTGATTAAATTAAGTCATTACTAAACAGCATACACCATGCCTCTTTAATATGGAAACAAATAAGGGCTAAGTGTTGAATCATGGCAACTTTCATGTGCTCTTAGAAAGGTGTTCTAACACTGGTTGTTGCTCCTTCACGCATACCCTTAATTAGGTCACATATCTATTTCGTACCCCTTTCTTTTATAAAACCCACCATATTATCTTTTTAGGAACTATATTATATGATTACTTTAGGTCAATGAATACCATATAAAGGTCTCTCTTCTTCTCCCTAAACTTTACTTTACTTTAGGTCAATGAATTCCATTGTTGATTCCCCCATTATAAAACAATATATCATGCAGTAACCTCCTCTTGATTACTCTCTAGTCTGTCCCAAAGTCTTGTAGTGAAGCTCATATAAGTTTAATCTCATAATAATTATTGTAACTTTGTATATCGATCGCCTTCGTTTTTAAATATAAGCACCATTGTTCACTTTCTCCATTTCATGGCGAATTAGAAGTTTATTTATTAATTATTTATAAGCTTTGTTAATTAAAACTTTTTATGAGGCTTATGCCTTGTTAAACCTTGAGGAACTAGCCTTGAGGCACAACCTTTAGCCTTCTAGATGTAGGGGAAAGAGGAACCTTCATCAAAAGAAGCCAATAATGAGGTATTTGAAGATTAGACTCAAGAAAATGTAAAAGGAGAAGCAAATTGGTAAACAATAAATCTATAATCAAAACCTAGAAAAAGAAGTAAATGACTGACCCAGCATCTAAACCCAGAAATAGAAGCAAATCGGTAAACAACAGATCTAGTAAGATAAATGTCAGAAAATGATTAGGATAGAAAATTAGATTCCTAGGAGATATTGCAATAACAAATGGCATTAAATAGAATAGAATGGCAAAACATGATTCATGTTAGCCAAACCCATATGGTTGGGATAAATCTTGGGTGATGAATATTGCAATGTTAACAAAGGAATGGTGAGGCACTAATTGTCATGGTCTGTAAATTATACTAGATAACATCCTCACCCACCCATAAAAGCCCAAATGGTGAAATCTAGATCAGGCCAACAACCTAACCGAAACGACTTTAATTTTCTAATAAGCTCAATTCCTAATACAAAATGTAGAACTTAGTCCATTACACAGATACTTACTAGTATCCAATTCTAGAAATTATAGGGCTAGGCCTCTTAGTTATGACCATTTGTGTCTGTAATTGCCTAGATTCTTCTTTTTCTTTTGTCAATTTTGTTATTGCATTACTGAAGCTTAACAAAGCAGTCATGTTTATCACTCACATGCAGGATGATTAGACATATCTGCAGAAACTGCACAAGCGATTCCTAAATTTGAAAGAGCTCCCCTTATAATTCCACAGGGAAAGTAGAGGTACATGCTGGTGGCTTGCAATGCTTTGTTCTCAATTGTAGTTATAGAAGAGTCTTGAGACAAATCTGTGTTTGTTGGAGATATTGACATGCGTGTAAGCCAACGGAACCGATTATCTTGCAAGACAAAGGTACCCTGCAAGATGAACTTGGTTTTGTTATTATTAGAGAATGGTGACCTACTTTCTTCACACTTTTGCTTCTTGGAACATACCCTATGGTTGGTTTTCAAGTTGTCAATTTGTTTCTTGAAGAGCTCAGACCAGAAATCCTTGCAGATAAACTTGATTGCCTCAAGGTGGTCACTGAATCGAGGATGCTCCATAGTATACCTGAAATGAATTCAAGGGCAGGTTAAGAGATGACCATATAACGAGATAAAATAAACAAGTATTAATCTTTTCTCTCTTTATAAGTCTTTGTGGTAATCACAAGTAAAGATTACAAGTGGCCCATTATCAAGTTTACAAAATCAATTTTTGTATGGTCTCAACTTTACAAAATCATTTGGGTAATGTGAAACTAAGCCGAGATGTATGCCAAAGAGTTAGTCATTAAGTGGGGTACTGATATAGATTTAAGTCAAAAACTGAATTTGACATAACATGTATTGCAACTTGGCCTAAGTGTGTCCATGCGTTATTCCAATTATATGAGGTTGGTTACATGAATCTTGTTTTGTTAATCCATTCTATTTAAAGCCATATCCATTGTGAAATTATTAGTGCTTAAACCATTTCTTATCTACTTCTACTCATTTCCTTTTGGTCTACCACTAGCTCTTCTAACCCTTCACTTGCAATAAATTGCGCTTTTTCTAATTGGAGTTGTTGGTGATCTTTTATGCACATAATCAAACCATCTCAATCAACTCTCTCTCTCTCTCTCTCTCTCATTTTTTTTTCATTTACTGGAGCTACTCCTAGGTACCTATAGATGACTTCTTTCCTAATCCTATCCCCACTCATCCATCTTAGCATTTGCATTTTTGCCACACTTATTTTCTAGACATATTGTTTCTTGCCTGTCCAACGTTCTGTTCTGTACAAAAGTCTAAATTCCCATCCATTTTGCCTAACTTGCTCTAATTCTTTGGATGATATCCTCCTCAATCTCTCTCTTGTTATTAATTATTGAATCAAGGTATTGGAAATGATCACATTGAGTTATCTCTTGGTTTCCAATCCTAAGTGTATCTTGATTTGCACTGCTTTTATTACTAATATTACATGCTAAATACTCTGCTTTAGTCCTCCTTATTTTAAAACCTCTTTTTTTTAAGACATTTTTTCATAAACTTAATTTTGTATTTAGTCCATTAATTTCATTAGTTAAAACAATGTCATCTACAAATAACATGCACCATGGAACTTCTTCCTAAATATGTTTAGTTGATTCATCTATGATCAATGCAAATAGATAAGGACTAAGTGCTGACCTTAATAAAGACCCATTGCAACTATAAAATCTGAAGTCTTTCTCATTGGTGTTCTAACATTGGTTTTTCCCCTTCATAGATATCCTTAATTATTAGGTTTATATACCTATTTTGAACCCTTTTCTTTTCCAAAACTCACCATATTGTCACTCTAGAAACTATATCATAAGTCTTTTATAGTTCAATGTACATTGGATAGAGATCTTTTTTTTATTCCCCAGCTATTTCCTCTGACCTTCAGAGATCCAACCATCTTTGCCATGTCCATGTTCCTTACACTATTGTCAGAAATGAATAAACTAGCTTTTCCTATATATCTCTTTTGGATACAAAATTTTGACACTGAAAACCAATGGATTCTTGATTAATTAGCTACCAATGAACAGTTTAGAGATTTCATTCTTTTCTTGTTTATTTTTTCTCACTTTGTCATAAAGAATAATTAGCAAACTATATGAACTCTTCATTGTCCTATGGAGAGTTTTGGTTCTTAATGAAGAAAAAAAAATGAACATATAGATTTATTTGTATAGGTAATATGCTTGTTAGAATTCACACGATATTACAGGATTTGTCAAACACTACTCTCTACAATATTTCAGCTTCCAAATCGAAATCAGATTCAGTCAGTGTAAGGCCCTGAAGACATCCTCAGGCTGTAAAGATTGTTTGAACGGTGTTCGAATGGATCTTGCACTGACTGAAGCGATTTCTTCCAAACCCAGCATTCTTATCCATGCAATTAATCTGACAAGAATTTCTTCATAGGTCCATTGAATGAGAGAAATTGGCGCATGTCAAAAAGAAGAGTTCTTTCTAAATTCCATTAAGAGTCAATGATTTGTTGTTGGCATCACTCCACTTTCTTATCGTGCCTCACTTCTTGTTTCCTTGGTTATTTCTTTGTATCATTTCATCCTCAGAAAATTGTTTCTCATATTTCTTTAAAATAATATGTTTTGCAATGTCATTTAAATTTCCTTCTTGTCCTTGTTGAATCCCAAACAATATGAAACAACTAATGATGAACTAGTGAAATTCTTATTTCAATTAGGATCCTAATCAGAAGAAATTCTCCAATCTACTATTGGACAACACAAAGCTCAAATCGTCATAGATCTTTAATAAATCAAATACGTTTCAGGAGCTTAATTGTATGAAAACTGTGCAATTATAACACTACAACTGCTTAAGGTTTGGAGAATGTATACCTCTCGGAGAGCTGGTGACCAACATGATACCCGATGGCCTCTATCCTCCGGGCGGCAAGCTCTGGCTTTGTGGCATAGAATTGGTTACAGTACGCTGATACCATCTCTATCATCAGATTATCCATGCAGCTTTCTACCACCTCCCTCTTCCCCATCTCTCTCTCTAAACCTCTCTTTATGCAAGAAAAGAATTTGTTTGTGCGTAAAAATGAAATATTAAAACATATTTACTCATATTAATAATTTAAGGGCAAAGTTATAACGGGGAAAAATCTACTAACAGGAGGGATTAATATAGGCGTAATAAACATTTAATTAATGCTGCAAAAAAAAAAGAAGACATTTAGGCTATGTTTGGTTTGAAGGAAAAAGTAGGGAAAAGAAGGGAAAAGTAGGGAAACTTTTACAAACCTTGTATAGATTTCCCTATCTTTTCCTTCATTTCCCTACTTTTTCTTTCAAACCAAACATAGCCTTAGTGCCTTGTCCAATTGAAAGTAATTGAAGGAGTCTGTAAACCCCTTTATCCCATAAGGTTAGGGGAAGAAGTTTAAGGGCAGTCAAAGTTGAAGAGAAATTTAAGTCCTTTTCAAGAAACCCAGGCGAGGTTTAAGGGTAGGTCAAAGTTGAGGGGAGGTTTAAAGCCAGGTTTAAGGGATTTATCCATCGTGGGTTCAATTATGATATGAAAAGATATGATATCTGAAAAATTTTTGACCTATTAATTATAATCATAAACGTAGTAGCTAATCAGGTGTTATTAATCAAAATTCTCTTCGATACCATGCCTTTCCCTCATCATAAATTTCCCTTTATTTTATGTAACATAAATTTCTTTGTTTTTATCTGAAATATTTTTAATGGTTATGCGATTCATATTATATATATCTTCGATTCGGAACGTGGCTAGCGTTTTTGAAATGGAATTGAAACAAGAAGTGGATCTCCATTTAAGGAGATTTATAAAGAAGATTGTCAGTTGGTAGCTTTTCTTAGCCTAATTGTGGAAGTGTGATTTAATTGGAAAGCGTCAGAAATAAGAAAAACAGAAACAAAATAAAAAAAGGAATGCAAAAAATAATATTAAAGATGGAAGGAAGGAGACTTGCATATGAAGATCTTTAAAAAGTGAATTAAATGCTATGAACTTGAGTTCTATCTATTCACCAATTTATCTGTATCATGTTTGAGGATTATACCCAGACAAATGATCTCTATCAACCAATTTTTGAAATACATAATTTCTTAGGAATCTAGGTTTGCAAATTCTTTTGTATTAGGTATTTCTTTAATTGTTTCCCCCAAAACTGGTGTTCGTTACCTTTGCACTTTCGTTTTTTAATATTTATTAAAACCAATGTTCAAAAACCAACTTAAAACTGCTTTGGCCATCAGTTTTTGAGTCAGTGGTTCAACCGTTCAGTCTGAATGAATGGCTTGATGAAAAAAAAAAAAAAAGACCAAACACTGTTGTTTAAATCAAATGGATCAACAGTTAAGCCACTTGGATTAGTAGGTTGTTGACCAAGCCAATCATTTTTGGCAAAGGAGTGATTCAGGGGGTGAAACGGAACTGATTGTTTGGATGATTTTCAAGACAAATGGTTAGACCGTTCTAGCCAACGATGGTTTGAAAATCATGACTAAAGCAATAATTTCATCATTATTGAATTGCTATTAATTAATTAGAGTTAGTAAATATAACATTGTGCTTTTAATACCAAGGCATTCAGAATCCCCATTGGGTTTAGTTTTTTAGGTATTGTAGCTCTGAGTTGACATTATAGGAACACAACTTTTGTAATTAGGAGAAGTAGTTGATATTGAGGACCTTGTAATAAGCATGTAAGTTGCTAAGTTCTTATTTGCCTCCACTAGATCAAAGTTTATTTGGGTTTCAGCACTTGTACTGCTCTTTCTCAATGATAGAAGTTGCCTTCCGATTCCTTTCTTTTTCTCCATAAAACTTCTGTTCTTGATAAAAGAGAAAAGTTTTTTTTGGAATTAAGGGGTGGAAACATTGAGGATGAACATACCATTTGGAAGAAAAGGTACGTCCCCTATTATCTATTGAAATGGAACATGTTATGTAATTATCTTTTGAGTTTTGATTAACTTTTGAATGAAGAAACGTTGGGATGCTATCTTCATGGCAATCTTTTTTTCCCATTGATTCACTTGTATAGGAAAACTTTTAGATACAATGGATCATCATCACTTTCTTCGTATGCACCTTCTATTGGGTGGTTTGAAATGGTTTTCCAAATGTGGAAGCACTTTATGTTTCTCTTATGGTGAGCAATTTTTGGAGGTTCTTGCATGCAAGATTATTAATAATTAAGAGTTGTCGTATCTTGAAGATTCTTCTTATTGTGAACAAATAGCCTATGAATGGTCAAGGACCTTGCAATAATTAAGAGATTCATTTGTGTTTTATGTCACAGTTATCCTATTGATTTTCTAGTGCTTGGTCATCTGGTGCATACTTAAAGTAGTGTTTTTTTGGGCTAGGTTTGGGCCCAACCCTTAGAAAGCCCGAATCTGGCCCGAGTCTGGCCTGATTATATATATGTATATGTGTATATGTAGGTATATATTTGCATGCATACATGCATATATGCATATTTTTTTTTAATATTGTACATATATGCATATATGCATGCATACATATACACATGTATATCAATTTTTAGTAGGGGCTAATTGACTGGCCCAAGCTTGACCTAAGCTCGAACCCAACCGAAGTACACCACATTTGTGTAGGTTGGCTTGTGCTAAATAGTTTGGGCTTGACCTCAAGCTCGGATTTTAAGCCCAATTCTTAGAGTTGAGCTTGGGTTGAACTAAAACCCGAACCAACTCGCTTGACTTGCACCCAATAAAAACCCCAAAGTTGAATAATGGTGTTAGATTGAGAGTAAAGGTTGTGAAGACTGAATACCACTAGACATAGCAAAAAGTTGACCCTACCCAACCCAACCTGAACAAACAGGGTTAGGGTCTCATATTTAGCTACTAGGGGTGGCAATGAGCCGAGCTTTTCACGAGCTACTCGAGCTTAGCTCGGCTTGGTTTCAATCGAGCTCAAGCTCGAGATCAAGCCCAATTCACTGGCTTGATTATGAGACGAGCCGAGCTCGAGCCTACTAGAGCTCGACTCGTGAGCCGACTCGAATATATATTTATACATATATATATATATATATAATAAAATTATAGAAAATAATATATATAATAATAACATTATAATTATTATTTATTATTTATTATAATTCTTATTTTTAAAAATATCAAATAAAAATATTTTTATATATAATTTTTATTTTTATAAAATATTTTTTTTCTCAAAATCGAGCTCGAGCTCAAGGTTCTGGCTTGAACTGGGCTCGAGCCTTGTAGAACAGTCTCGAGCCGAGCTTGAGCCTCATACTATTCGGCTTGGCTTAGCTTGAATCCACCCCTATTAGCTACCTGAATTTGAGAATGACCCAACCTAACCAAACCTATAAAATACTAGGTTGGGTTGGGTCATGGGTCAACCCACTGACCCAATTGTCAGGTCTAATTCGGACTATTTATGCATTGCTAGAAGTTTGCACTCTTTAATTTTTACTATTTAGTCTTTACTCTTTGAATTATTAAATCTTTGAGTTTTTTTTTTTATTTTATATTTGGAATTTCAAGGTTAATTCCTTTAATTTTGGAAATTTTCATGTATTTTTTCTTTATCTTTTTTTAACTTCAGTTATTTTTCTTAGGACAACCCCAATTGAACCATGTGTCAACCCTAACCTGAACATTTAGGGTTAATTAGGGTCTAGCATTTGATAACCTAACCTGAAATTCAACACTACCTGAAACCAACCCAAAGTGTCTTGACCCAATCCGAACCTGACCAACCCAACCCAAAGTGTCTTGACCCAATCCGAACCTGACCAACCCAACCCAATTGCCAGGTCTAAATACCACTAACTCGGCAACATCTAGAGAAATGATACAGTGTGAACACCACCATCAAGCCTCCATTACAAATTGAAGTAACTAAAAGATACCATTTATCCTTGTTGGAACATTACACGTGGAGATTAATAAGGGCAACTTTAGTACCAGGATTGTAGCTGATAAGGGACTCTTGGGCCCTAATATCAATAAAAATAATCTTTTAACATAATTATTAAAATAGGCTAACTTTTATTAAAAAATATCAAATAAGGGCAGAAACACTTTCATCTCCTTCATCCTTCCCCCTTCAAACTATCGAATAAATCTCTATCAAGATTAATAAATATTGATCACAGATCTTTAATTTTTTGTTCACCCTTGTAATTGCTAGCTTGGTGCAAGCAAAAATAGCAAAACCCATTGCATTTCATTATATGTATTTAATTTCTCCACTTAGCATACTCATAGACCTTTTCTAATCCCAATTTCCAGGTTTTAATGCCATTCAAAACTGCTTTAGATACTTCTAACAGGCTTAATAATTGGAACCAAACTGCCGAAAGAGAGGAAAATCGGAGGTGGGAAGATTTTTAATGGTCTTGAGGGAAGAGATGAACAATATTTGTGCCCTTATTTAATATTTAAAAAAAGTTAGTCTAATCTAAAAATTATATTCAAAAAATTATTTTTATTGATAATAATGTTCAAAAATTGGCATTACCAGATATAATCCCTTTTGATTTTCAGTAATCAACTAATAAATACTCCCTACCTTAGTTGACAACTAATAAATACTCCCTGTACCAAACATGCACCGTAGTAATAACAAGTGTTGCCTGAACGTCTTATAAATAGTAAAATTAAAAAATCACCTCTATCCGATGCAAAAAGCTAGTCGATGCATTTATTACTAGTGTGAAGAAGTAGAAGTTGGTTTCCCAAAAACAGACAATTTGAAATTTGAGAATTACAAGATTTGGCTTTTGTTAGAAATAGAAGATCAGAAGTCAGAATTAAAGATTGAAGTTTGAAGGGATAGTAGTCATACACGGCTAGCTAGCTTAAGAGAACCAATTCAATTCACTTTGGTTCCATGATTTTCATGGAAAACAATAAATAGGGAAAGAAAACGTGTCCTGATGTTTTGCTTGTACCACCCAATGCATGGTACAAACTATGAAAAGGGGTAAATTAATAATTATATATTAATTTA